TTCTTTTATTTTCCAGAGTGGCCCACTCCCTTATCCACCCTAGCTTGGCTACCCTGTAATATATTTCCCAATCAGGGAGTCCAAATCCTCCCATATTCCTTTTTCCCTGTAAAATTTTTAGTGAGATCCTTGGCTTTTTCCCCTCCCATACAAATTCCCTAATATTTTGGTTTAATTCTGAGAAATTTTTTTTATCTAGATTCACTGGTATATTTTGATATAAGAATAGGACTCTGGGGAGGATGTTCAACTTGATCGCGGCTATCTTGCCTATAAGTGCAATTTAATTTTCTTCCATCTATCCAGATCTTGTTTCATTTTTTTAATTAAAGGAGTATAATTATCTTCCTTTAGAGATGAACACCTTATGGTTATCCAGATTCCTAGATATTTTATTTTTTTGACAACCTGTAATCCCAATGTTTCTTCTATCTCTTTCTTCTGCACCTCAGTTACATTCTTAGTTAATATTTTGGTTTTGGTTTTATTCAATTTGAAGCCTGCCACCTTTCCGAGGTGTGGCCTTATTTATAAGGCAGTACTAATACTTCACTTGATTTTGATTCTATGCCTCTGTTTATACAACCAAGGATTGTAATAGATTTTTTGGCTCCTACTACACACTGTTGGCTGATATTTAAGTGATTGTCCACTAGGAATCCAAGGTCCCTCTCACAGCTACTATTTTGGAGCCAGATTTCACCTAATATATACTTGTACATTTGGTTTTTCCTGCCTAAGTGTAAAATCTTGCTTTTATCAACATTAAATTTCAAGTTGTTGGATAGAGCCTATTGTTCAAGTTTGTCAGGATCTTTTTGGATCCTTATCTTGTCTTCTGGGATGTTGGCTATTCCTGTCAGCTTAGTGTCATCTGAAAATTTGATGAGTTTCCTTTTTATTCCCTCATCTAAGTCATTTATGAAGATATTGAAGAGTACTGGGCCTAAGATGGAGCCTTGTGGTACCCTACTGCTTACTTCCCTCCATGTGGATGTGGTACCATTAAGGACTACTCGTTGACTATGGTTTATCAGCCAATTATAAATCCATCTGGTGGTGATGCTGTCTATCTCACATTTTTCTAGCTTATCAAGAAGTAGGTTGTCAAATATATTTTGTCAAATGCCTTGCTGCAGTCTAAGTATACTAGGTCCACAACATTTTGCTGGTCTACTAATTTAGTCACTTTGACAAAAAATGAAATAAGGTTGGTTTAGCATGATCTGTTTTTAACAAACCCATGCTGGCTTTTAGTTATAACTTTATTTGTTTCTAGATGTTTGCAGATCTGTTTTTTAATTATCTTTTCCAGTATCTTCCCAGGTATTGCTGTTAGGCTGATTCGACTGTAATTTCCTGGGTCTTCCACCCCACTTTTTTTTTTGAAGATGGGAATCACATGTTCCAGGATTTTCCAGGATTTTTTTAAAGATATGGTACAATGGTTCTGCGATTACATGGCAAGAAAGTATCAGTATCATCTTCCATTAGTCATTAGTCATTCTATTTATGAATTTACTTATTCAGGCTTATCAATAAAAGACTATAGAAGAGTAATTGTTACTCATTCATAGAAACAATCATTTTAATTGCTTCCTTTACAGAGTTCAGGTAAATGTGCAGAACTTTGCTGTGGCTATGAGGAACTACAACATTTTTCGTACCTTAGTTCTAAAAATTCTTTCAGCTGAACTGGAATTTAAAAGATGTGGAACTCATGAAATAATAAAGAAATCTTGAGTTACCCTGCCACCCTTTAACTGAAAGTCACTTTATATAGACATAAAGCTTCGACCTGTATGCCTGCTTTTAAGTGGTGCTTATGATAAAATGTGTATGATGGTTGCTAAGCAGAGTGAGGTAAAGTGGAAAAAGACACATAAGCTTTTAAAGAAAAGTAGGTCAAGACTTTTATCTTAGTTATACTACTAATACAAATATGCCATAAGGTATAATTATAGAAAACATCCCCTTAAGTCTAGAACTGGATCCTCTTCCAGTTATGAGACTTTAAAAAATATACTTTGTGCCTTCTACTTTAATAAATCTTCTATTTTTCCATATCATAAACAATGCAGAATGGAATTTTTAGGGAATAATACAGAATACAGAATAAGATCACATGACGGGACATGTAGGAAGAATGTGAAAGATTGATTAATTAATAATGTGCTATCAAGTCATTTTTGCTCCTAGCAACCACATAGATTTTCTTCATGACAATCTATCCTTAATATATGCTTTCAAATCTCTCAATGCTGCACTCATTTCCACCATAACTGAATCCATCCACCTTGCTCCTGTTTGTCCTTTTTATTCTTTTCCTTCATCTTTCCAAGAAACAAAGCTTTTTCCAGAAAGTGGGTCTTGATATAGTGTCCAAAATAGGATAATTTTAACCTGATCATTAATGCCTTGAGTGAGAATTTTGGGTTGATTTGTTTGATAATCCATCTTTTCTTTTCTTGGTTGTCTATGGTATTCTCATGAACTCTTCTCCAACATCAAGTTCAAAGACATCAATACTTTTCCTATTCTGCTTCTTTGAAGTACAACTTCTGCTTCCATAGAGTGTCACAGGGAATAGCATGGTTTTCACAATTTGTAGGTGTAAATGAGAGAGGATTGTCTACATGTAAATAGGTGGAGAAAGATGACCAGCAAAAACTCATGATATGCAATCACTCAGATCCAAAAATGAAAATGTGCTTCAAAGAAGACATTGATGCACTCCCTGTTCCTGTTAGTGCCTCCTCAAATTAATCTTAGAGATGAACTCTATATTAAATGTGGGTCAGTTGCATATCCCGACCCATGTAAAAAAATCTAGTTATGCAACCCCTGCCTCCCCTCCTTTCTGCCAGGGAGGAAAAGGCTTTGTCTTTGAGTATTGCAGGCAAAATTCTAGAAGAGTAGGAGGAGAAGCTGGAAACTCAGCATAGCTAAAGAAGAAAGTAATATTGCTCTCCTGTCCCTGATTTAAGGTTTTAATCTATAAAAATCTGGAAAATGAGATCTCCGGAGACTCAGGGCAGCATTGTAAGCCACCCTGAGTCTCCGGAGAAGGGTGGTATATAAATCAAATTTAAAAAAAAAAAATCTGGTGAAGCAAGCCAGCAAACATAGGTGTGGCAGAATAAGATGTCCTTATTGAGAAGAATTCCAAACCATTTCAATATTTTTTTTTGGGGGGGCCCTCTGACAAAATCATACAACCTGTCAAATAAATGCTAAGAAGCCTGATACCTAATTAGGACAACTGGGAGCAGGCACATCTCCCTTTTGATGACAGTATATAAAGTCGCCAGATCTCATAGACAAAGGAATGGTTGATAAACACTGCTGGGATTGTAGTTGTGCTATGTGGAGGTGAATCTGGTTCCAGGTAGAGGAAGGAATTCCAGCTGAGGTCTGAGAGGTGCAGGCAAGATTAGAAAGAGCGGTCTACAGAAAGGATCAGCAGGTGGAAAAAATGGAAATTGGAAATTTCCACTAATTGGAAATCAGTGAAGAAAATTTTATTAAGTTGCAGGGAAGTGAAACTGCTGAAGCTGTCTAATGGACTGAGCATATCAAGACTGTGTTAGACGAGGACTCTATGAATCAGGGAATGAAGAAACAGTTAAGAAACTACAAAAAAAAAAAGTTATGAAGGCTTGAATAGAACTTATTGGTCCTTTTTGCATACCAACATGGAAATGAACTGTGAGCAACCCAGCAATAATTCATGCAATTTTTCTAATTATATCTGATCAAAGAAAAGGATGCCATGCAACAGACATCTCTAGGAACACTTTTCCATAGTGTTGACACTGTTTGAGAATTGAAGAAATGCAATCCAAAAAAATCATAGAAGTGCTAAATTAATTCAAAGTATATTTTGGTATCAGTCAATGTTTTATTTTAAAATGTGAATTCTTATTATTAAGTAAAGATATATGTTATGCTACATGGTGTAAAATATGGTATAAAATATGCTACATGCTACATATAACCCTCCCTGGTATATTAAGTAGAATCAGTGGTGGGATTCTACCAGTTTGGACTGGTTCGGGCGAATCGTTAGCTCCGACTTTCAGCTGTGAGTGAACCGGTTCTCTCTTTCTTTGAAGTGGGCCTGCCTGCCCCTGCATTATACTCACCTATATTTCTGCTTCCGAAGCCCAGCTGATTGGGGCGGTAGAGTGGATTGCTGTTCCTCAGCTGTTTTCCTTGCTATCATCAACATGGAAGTTCAATTTTCTGCAAAGTGCCCACTCCTTGAGTAGAATTATTTTCAAAATTGTATATGCCTGAGTTTTCCTGTGATTTTTTTTCTTTTTAAATGAGATTGCAATCTGATTTAGAAAGGAAAACAAATTGAACCTCAGACTAGAAAATTCATCAGTGGCTACACTGGCTGGAACCTAACAGTTATTCTATTCAATACCTCTGGAGGATACTACATTGCCAATTTGTGTCTGAAAAAAATGGAGTTTATTTGCATAATTCTAATGTGATATCCAAACATTTTCTGACAGCCTATACAATGTACTGCCAAAGGCAAGAAACTCCTCTGTTTGTTTTGTGGCTCAAAATGGTAGGGAAAGAAACAGCAATTATAGTGTTGTTGTCTTGTAGCAATCAAGTAGAAAGGCTTTATTTAATCAACCACTTCACTGACCAGAAGGTGTAATCCAAACATGATAATAGCTTAATGGCACATCTGGCAATACCCTTATTGTTTTTATGTTCCAAATGGATTGTTTGCCTCATTACATATACACATTGATCTTGGCTATTTGAAAGTGTTTGTCTTTGGATTTGAACACATTAATCAATGGTCAATTAACAGCAGAATCAAGGAGAGGATATAGGAAAACATATCTACTTTGAAGGATAAAATTAGAATTAGCGAACAGATAAATCTTAATCAAAGATCTGGTCAGAAAAAACAAGATTGTTCACAAAGCATTTCTGATTCTTAGAATTTGTAATTTTTCTATTTCTCTCTTCTAGGTCATTGATGTTTGTCTCAAACAAGTGAAAGATTTTAGCAGCAGACTTTCCGCTGAAGAAATATTGTTTGCCATGGTAACGTCATATATACAGATTTTTTTAAAAAATTTGCAGTTGAAGATAATAGTCTATATCAATATAATTTTTTCATCTCCTCAGACCCTCTTTTCATTTTCCCAGCAGCAAATGAACAAAAGAACAAGGATCAGAATCAGGACTGCTGGTGATCCTGCTGCCTCCCATTTTTTTATAATGGAAGATAATATTTAACATGATGCCATACAGGTAGTCCTCGATTTATGACCACAATTGGGATCAAAATCTCTGTTACTAATCAAGGTGATGGTTAAGTGACTCATGTCCCATTTTATAACCTTTTTTTGGCCAGTTGTTAAGTGAATCACTGGTAGTAGTTGAGTCAATCATGCAGTCATTAATTGAATCTGTCTCTGCTTTCCCCCATTGATTTTACTTGTCAGAAGCCAGCTGGGAAGGCTGACCCCAGGAGGTTGCAGTCAGCATAACAATATGCTGGTTGCCAAGCACCTGAGTTTTGATGGTTGTAAATTGAGAGCTACCTGTATTCCAAGAGTAATAGTATCTTTTTATTATTTTATATGGTTTTCATATGCTTTGGGGTCTGCCAGACCATCCACATGTCCCCACATCCTTCCCACCTGCAACCTACCTTCCTAGTGAATTATATATAAATAGAAAATGGATTCTGTGAGGGTCCAAAGAAGAACATCTCCTCACCCTACAGAATAACAGAATTGGAAGGGACATTGGAGTTCTTATAGTCCAACTCCCTGCTCAAGCCGGAAACCCTATACCATTTCAGACAGATGGTTGTCCAATCTCTTCTTAAAAACCTCCAGTGATAAAGCACCCATAACTTCTGGAGGAATGTCATTTCACTGATTAATTGTTCTCACTGTCAGGGAATTTATTTTAGTTCTAGGTTGGTTCCCTCCCGGGGTGAAATGCTCCTGGTTCGAACCAGATCTCCTGATCCAGTAACAATAGTGGCAGGTGGTTCGGAGAAAAATCTCTGCTCCCCCCCGCCATGCCCAGCTGAACCGCGCGATCATCAGAGGCTGTTTTTTTAAATTTTAAAAGCATTTTTTCTACAACCTCTTCGACCAAAAAAATGCATTTAAAAGTAAAAAAAAAAAAATCTCTGATGATCACGTGGCTCAACTGGGATCGTCAGAAGCTTTTAAAAGCATTTTTTTTCTGCAATCTCTTCGGCCGAAGAAGTTGTAGAAAAAAAATGCTTTTAAAAGCCTCTGACGATCCCAGCTGAGTTGCCTGATCGTCAGAGACTTTTAAAAGCATTTTTTTACAATCTCTTCAGCCTTATCCACGCCCCTTACAGAGCTCTTAGGAACGGGGTGAGGTCAACAGTAGCCAGTCTAAGGTTAAAATTTGGGGGGGGGGGGGGGGGGGTGGGAAACCACAGAGTCAGGTAGTGCATTCCAGGCATTGACCACTCTATTGCTCAAGTCGTATTTTCTGCAATCGAGTTTGGAGTGGTTCACTTTAAGTTTGTATCTATTGTGTGCTCATGTATTGTTGTGTTTTGTTTAATCTGGGTAGAAATAATACAGTTTGTTAGTTTTTTTAATCAGGCATTTGGAATGGTCGGATATTTGGAGGATTCTTTATGCTTTCAGGATATCCCATTAATAATTCCTCCCAAACCCTCCCCCCCCCCCATTTGATTTAGCTGGCCATCTCCTTCCTTTCTAGTAGGCATATAGGAATGGCATTTAGATTTCAGAGTCAGATTTAAATTTGCTGTTATATCAGAACGTAACTTGTTTCCTACTGCCTAGTTCAAAAAGAAGTTTTGGAAGAAGATATGGAAGAAGTTACCAACAAAGCTTGTTTGGTCTACTGTCATGTAAACTGCAGTGTTTCTTCTCTAAAAAGTGGGAGGGAGAGGAAATTTTATTTTGCATCAAGTATGGGTCTCCTTGTGCATCAACATAAAATGAAACATTTATCATTATTGGTAAGTAAATGTGTTGATTTAAAGTAAAGATAAAGATGAGTTGATGTGGTTCTAAAATATGACATCACCCCAGAAAAATCAAGTTGGGATCCCCAGTTTCTAATTCCCTGTTTCTAATATTTAAAGAGAACAACCAGTTGCCTCTGCTATACCTAGTTTATAGTGAGAATCTAGTTTGCACCAGTCAGCCCAAAACAGTGGAACAAGCTTGAAAATATTGTTATCTGTACAAGGCAGCAAAAACACAACATTTTGCTTGCCACTAAACGTAGGAAACACTAAGATTGTGGGAATCTTTTTTTTCTCCTCTTTTACAACATAGTACTATATTGGTCATCTCTAACAATAAACTATGTAATTTTAGTTGTTTTAAAATCAACTTTGCTTAAAGATGTTCTTGGTTAGTGAGACACAAAAAGTTTTGTTTCTGAATATAAAAACTGACCCTCTAAATTCAATTGTATGTAAAAAAAATTTTTTATTTATCTTATTTATTTTTAGACTGCATTTAAGATTGAGGTCCTTTCAAGGTGACATACATAATAGATACAATGATTTTAAAAATGCTCAAACCAATAAAAGCAAATGTCAGAAAGAACATTACCAACATGCAAAGCACTCAAAAGCAGAATTATAGTAAACAATCTACAATATGATACAGTTTAATTCAAGAGAAATCCAGGTAGAACTTCAAAATTTTATGAAAGACCTTTAAAGAAATATCCTAATGAAAGCTGAGTACAAATTCACCTCATATTTGATGTGGGGCAGAAAAGACTTACTACTAACCTCACAGCCTTTCCAGACAAATGAGTAAACTGATGGTTTTGATCCGCAGGAAGAGTTATATTGATGGAATAATCAGTCATGTAATCTGTCATTTATATAAATAATAATAAAAGGTAGCAAAATATGTGGGAAAGTAGCTATTAACAAAGTCTATGACAGCATACGTTCCAATTTCCCTTCCAGCTAATATTTTCTTCCTAGTGTTCCTTGGACTGTTTTATTTTTCTGGATTTCTGGATGGTGTTAGCTATTTCCACTGTCCAATGTGCATCTCTAATCCTAGTCTCATATCCTTCTTTGACAGTCTTTAACTGTAATTTCTCTACAGCTTTAAGAATAGTCCCAGCAAAACAGGAGATTGTAAATATGACCTAATATAACCTAAAAAAAGAACCTTTGTGTAATGAACAGACTTAATCCAAATGCATGTTGAATGTATCCATCTTTGACTAAATGAACCATCAGTTATAGTTACAGGCTATTGATACGAATACACTGTAATTATACATAATTATGTTTCATTTTGTGGATAATCCAGACGTTGAATATGCCATCTTAGTATTATATTTTTGACTCTTGATAGAGATATAGGCAACACATAAAACCCTGCCTAAAGGCTCCCACACTGCTGGAGAACTACTAGATCATAGAATCTGGAAGTAAGTAAGGTCATTTCTTAGTTATGAGAACTCTAGATTCAATCAGTGGAACACAATTATATCCCTTGGTTCAAAATGTCACACAGAGGAGTTAAACCAACCTTGGCACCTAATTTCTGTCTGCCTGTTAAAATATTTTTTTTCTCTATAGCAAGGGGTGAACTGTGAGACGGAAATCTGTGTGTATACAAGCTGCAGTTTTCTTTGTGAAGATGTAGATGCCCTATTGGGGGTTAATGCAGGGGTGGGCTTGCATGGGGGATTTGCATGGGTTCAGGAGAATCTCTAGCTAAGATTCTGTGCAGTTCAGAGAACTCCCAAATCCCACTCCTGGCTGGCCCCCGTCCCACCCACCCCACCTCTCCTAGGAGTCCCCACGTGGCCCGTTTTGGATGCAGGTAAGTGCAGGGCATGCACGGAGGCTCAGGGAGAGTGAAAAATGGGCCTAATGGAAGTTTGGGAAGGCTGGGCCCATTTCCAGCCTTCAGAGGGCTTTTGGAAGTCCGCTGGGGAGGCTGTTTTTGCTCTCCCAGAGGCTCAAGGAATGCCTCTGGAGCCCAGGGAGGGCAAAAATGCCCCATCCCACCATGGTGCAGGAGGCTGACTAGGCCATGCTCACCATGGCCACACCCAACCAGCAACTGAGCAGAGAACTCTTGCTAAAATTTTTGAAGCCCACCCCTGGATTAATGAATCTGGAGTGGGCTTGCTTTCAGTGAACATGGAATGAGCTGTTCTCTGATGTGCCTGTTCACTACAGGTATGAAGTCAGAAGATTTCAGATAGGCTAACTTGGACTAAAGGCTATACTGTTTTCTTGAGAAGATCAGTACAACTTTCCTAATGTTTATGATGTTCCCTTGAAAGAGTGTTCTTAAATTCTCAGGAAAGTAAGAATAATTTTCTTTGTGTTGTTTGGCCACAGGTCCACTGTCAAGACTTTGTTTCTTTCATTCACTAAAAAACTGTTTCACTGCAATGCATGTTTATTCTGTAAGTTTTATATATATATATCCCATCCTTTAAAATAAATCCATAATATATTTGAACATCCTGTAAAATTTACTTTGATCAATTGGCTCATATTTCCTCTATACTTCCTTTCTGTCTTAATCAGTAGCTCTTTTACTGAGAAATCTGAACTCCTCCACTTTTAAGGTTTGTAAAACAATTGAGACATTTTCTGTCTAATTCTCCATGAGCATGTGGTTGGAGTTTTAAGCAGGATTAGAATGTTGCACGAACACTAATTTCCCCTTTGATCATTTCAATTAGCCAGAGAAGAGAGTTCTGGTAGCAATTACTTTTCAAGGAAATGAGGCAGCTCATTAACTGCCAAGGATTCTTTTTGAATTTATGCTTCATTTTTTATTGAAAGAATAAAAATGGTCAGAAAAAAAGTTGATGGATAGGGGGAAAAAAATCTCACTAAAGCAGAGCGATTGTAATATATGTAAGTAATATTTTAAAGAATCCCTTTATGAAACTTTTCCTTTGCTTATGAGTTCTAGATCAGGAATCTGTGGGTCTCCAAATGTAGTTGGACTACAACTCTGATAATCCCCACAATTTGTATTAATGTTGAAACCCATGGGGATTGGAGTTCAACAGTATATTGGAGAGCATAATGTTCTTCACTCCCGAAATAGACTATAATTAATCTCAAATTGCTTGAATATTTCTGTGAATTGGTGTAACGTTTGGCAAAATAAGTGATTTGTGGACTAATGATTTTACTATCATGGAGTGTTTTCATTTTAATAGACTTTTGATTCTTTCATTTTTATGTTCCATCCTTTATGGCTAATTGTTGTAGTAGGTTAGAATTCATTCTAACGTTCTTCTCCAGCCTATAAAATTACAATTTATGAATAAGAACATGTAAAAAAAAAAAAACAGCATTCACAATAACATTGACAATGTAAATGATTGTAGGGAACAATCAGGGGATAGAATAATAAAGTTTGAAAATAGCAGTTATGTATGTATCTGTACTATTTCAATCAAAAGGGCTATTTTAGAACATAAAACTTAAAAAAAAGTTTACAAAGTGGTAACATTGGATCTAAAGGGGTCTGTCAATTTAATCCTTCTGGGATGAAATTAATCTCTGGATCAGAAAAAGCAATCCTTGGTCCCAGAACCACATGTAACCAAATTTCTTTTTAGCTATGGACTGGCAAAAACATTTCTGTTTTCTTACCATTCAGAGATGGAACACCTTAAAATTGGACTGGACACCTTAAGATTGATTTTAACTTAAAAAAATAAAATGCAATATCCCCTCCCAAAATAATGCCCATTCTGTTATATAAGTGATACGATTCCATTCAAAGGAATGATTCTATTCATTTCCTAATTACCCTGTTAGGAAACCCTACGTGTTAGCTGCAAATCCTGGCCAACAAATATTGTCTGTGCCTATTTAGGTATTACGTACTCTGATCACATGAATCACAGCAAGAGTCAGGATCATTTAACTTCCAAGCTGCAATCCCAGACAGAAATCTTTGTGGTAATCTACATGTATGACTAGTTGTCCTGTGAAATTACCAAGATGGAATGAATCAATTTTATTCACTGTATGTTCACACATAATTTGTGCAATAGAATTGAAAGTACAATTGCACCTGCAGTGCTACAATAAAAACAAGCTACATCCTCAGAAATCATTTTTAAGGGGAAGGGGGGTAGAATCCATAATATTTTTTGCTTTTGTAGAACTATGGATGAAATCCATTGTTTTTCAGTTAACAATAAATATAAATTACGTAGCCTTCAACAAAAAGAGACTGTGGTATCAGCATATATTAAAAATGTTATCTAGACAGCTAATAAATATTAAGCTAACTAGGCCTTTTCACCTAAAAATAACAAATGTGAAATTTTCATGTCGAAGCCTGTCAACCAGGTACCCAATGAATTATTATACTACTCAATTTTATATTGACAATAGTTTTAAATATTGAGGTAATAAAACATAATCTTACCACCAATTTAGGCACACAAAAGTTATGTGTGACCGTACTGCAATCATTATTCTTCAATATTTAAAAATATAATATTCCTCCATTTTATAACCATTTATCTTTCTTAGAAAGAGTCTTTAATCACTTTTAAGTCCTTTAAGAGAGAGGGGAAGAAAGAACAAAAGAAGTTTGGAATAGTGAGCTCACAACAGTAAAGGTCCTATGATGCTGACAGAAACTCTTCTAATTAGAAAACTTCTCTCAAAGTAGGTTTGAAATATCAGGTGAGAACATTTCTACTGTCCTGCTAACAATCTCAAAGAATTTTAGACAATCTGAAACTCATACTCTCATGATGACAAGAAAGAAAGAAGAAATAGGAAGAGAGGAGATGAAAATAAAGCATCATGATATCAGTTCTCAAAGTTGCTTTTATTTTAGTGACCAGCTGGGATGAAAATCAGTTCTTGTAACCTGCTGGAATGAATGCTGGTTAGGCAGCAGTATGGCAGAGCTCTAAGCAGCTGGTCTCTCAGCAGAGGTAGAAGGTCCCCATTGCTTTCTGCTCCTTCTGCTGCCCAGA